ATTCCCGTGAAGTAGATATTGGTGGTCATGAATTAAATGCATATATGACAGAAGATGACCAACCAACAATTGGTTTGATGAAAATGTTATACGTTATTCTGAACCGATAAGGTCTGGTAGCAATGAGTCCAAGTTACCAATGGTTTCCAAATTAATACACTTGGAAATACAATATCGGATTCTTAATGCATGCTACGATGACCTTTGTCGAATAATGCAGAGGTTAATGCCCGAAGATAATGTCATGCCTGAATATTATCTTATGTTTTGTTGAATTTAAGCTTCAATACTTTTATTTGCTCATATCAATGAAAAAACAACAAGGTTAGTGCAATTTTTCCTCTCATAGGATTTAGAGGGGGTTTTTAGAAACGACTACCTTGTTTATTTTTAAAAAATTAAAATTATATTTTTTACTTTTTTTAAATTATGTATAATATAAATACCCAAATAGATTACAAAAGAAACAAAAGGATTATTATTCTAGTTTTATTTTATCTGATAATTTTAAAAGTATTTTAATTTGTTGACGGAACATGTGGACCTTTCCAAATTTGTGACGGGTCCACATGTTCCATCATAAAATTTATAGCTTTTTTAGTTACACGCTAATTACCTCCAATTTCCCTTCATTGAAACATAAATTTTATGAAGGTTCACATGTTCCGTCACAAAATTTAGAGTTTTTTTTTAATTAACCACTCATTTCTTCCAATTTCCATCAATTGAAACATAAAATTTGTGACGATCCACATGTTCCGTCACAAATTTGTAACGGGTCCACATGTTCCTCACAAATTTTAGAGTTATTTTTAATTACCTGCTCATTTCTTCCAATTTCCCTCCAGTGAAACATAAAATTTATAACGGGTTCATATGTTCTATCACAAAATTTAGAGGTTTTTACTTACCCGCTTATTTCCTCCAATTTCCCTCTATTGAAACATAAAATTTCAAATATACCCATTTTGTATCCTAATATTTTTCTAATTAAACCTTTCTAAACTCATTTTTTTCTAATTTTTTTCTTCTCATTTCTTCTCTTCTTATTATCTCATTTTTTCATCAAAAATAATTTAGATAATACTTATTGAAATTACATTTTATTACAATCTATTTTAGTAAAATTTTAAATAAATTTTTAAAATTTTAATTTGGCTATTTAGACATCTAATATGGCTTATATAGCTCGCCAACTCTATCTCTCCAATCTAGTTTAGATATTTCATTTTAACTACTCAAACAAATATGACTATTCGATCCAGCTTGCCCGCCTTCATGTTGCTACTTGTGGCATTGAAATTCAATATATGAGAGTTACTACGGGAAGCATATTTTTTTGGTCGGTTCACTTGGTAAGGGTTGGATGATTCTTTTTTTATATGATATTTAAAAATCATTTTTAAAAAGTATTTTAAATTTGTGACGGAATTTGTGGATCCGTCACAAATTTCTGACAAATCCACCTATTCCATCATAAATTTGTGACGGGTCTACATGTTCCGTCACTATTTTTTGGAGTTTTTTTATCCCTTTCCACTTTCTTCAATTTCCCTATATTGGACCATAAAATTTTAAATTTACCCACTTTTAACATAATTTTTTCCTATTTAAACCTTTCTACACTCATTTTTCTCTCTTTTCTTTCTTCTCATTTCATCTATTCTTATTAACTCATTTTTTTTTCTCCCAAAAGCTATTCTCTTAATTTCATCCTCTTTTATTATCATTATTATCAATATTGATGTAAGTTTTAGTTTTTATTCAATGTAATTTCTTTTAATATATACTTTGTTTATTATATTATTTTAAATTAATCACTAACATCTTTCATTATATTTTATAGGTTGTTTTGAGATTTTTAAATTATAAAAATTCTTTAGTATGCAAACTTTGTATTTTACTCTTTTTTTATTATTGGATATTGTATTTTTTATGTATAGTTTACAACCATATACTTATATTTATTAGAAACATTGAATTGTGAAATATATGTTGTAAATCCATATTTAATCTTAGCTAATATGGTGAATTTATTCTTTTATCATATATTATTATTTTCTTATTAAGGACTTGTTAGTATTATTATTATTATCTAATTTTTTAAATTAATGTAATTTTCAATTATATTATTAATAATTTTTGGTACATTAATTAAGTAAATAAAAATTTGGATTCATAATATTTTGGAGGGAATGAAAAAAATTTCTAGTATAATTCCGATAAATTTTCCCTCATTTTATTTAAAAAAATTAAGATTTAAATTTCCAACGGAAAACATGTAATTCATCAAAAATTTAAAATCCAGGTTTTCTTTTTATATTTTTAAATATCCCGATGGAAAAGACATGTTCCTCGGAAACATAAAATATAGTATTTTATTTATATATAACATTCTGATGGAAAAGATATGTTAGTCAGAAACATAAAATATAGTATTTTATTTATATATAACATTCCGATGAATTTTAAATTTTGTCACTAATATATTGATGTATTTCCGTCAATAAACTTCTGACGAGTCACTTTATTCCCTCGAAAATATTGGTTTCAACCAGCATTTTATCAATCACTTTCTTCCCTCAGAAATTCATACTAATGTATTTCCGTCAATAAACTTCTGACGAGTCACTTTATTCCCTCGAAAATATTGGTTTCAACCAGCATTTTATTGATCACTTTCTTCCCTCAGAAATTCTGTTAATAAAATCAAATTCTGTCACAAATTCCCTCAGAAATTCCATAAACAATTACACATTTTTCTTAGTGTGGGACATTTTGTTATAACCATTGGCATAATTACTAACCATCTAGATCACACAAGGACTAAAGAAGGAAAGGTTACAAAAAACAAACAAAAAAACTTGAACAAAATAAAGATACTGAAAGACCACCAACAAATCGCAAATCTGATTGTATCGGTAAATGAACCACAAAAGGGGATGTTGCTATTAAAAGACCACCGGCAAATCACAAATCAGAATTGAGCGACGTGAGCAAACTATCAACGAACACAAAGCGCATATCCAAATCAATTCGAGGGTCTAAAACATGAAAGATCAACATGATAAAAAATAAGAGACATCTTGATCAGTTGTGACAATGTCAAATCCAACCCTGAAAAAAATCAACGAAAAGAACGACCAAACGACAGAAAACTACCAAAAGGCAGAGAAAAACGTGCCACAAAAACAAAGATAAAAGTGTCATAAAGATAGAGATAAATGTGTCATAAATAATATATTATTCTTATTAAAAAACTAAAAAAATCTAAAAAAACCAAAGAGAAGAAAACTGACGATCGACAACTAGCATCAAAACCGGAGCTCCGTCGGTTAAAGAAAATCAAAGAAGAAGAAAATAATTTGGTCTATAGAAAAATAAAACAAACTGTAAATAGAACAAAAAAGATGAGGGAGAGAAAGAAGGGAGAGAGCTGTTAATATTTTTTTCTAGTGGAAAAAGTTAATGAAAAAATGTTTTTTGTTTTTGATAAAAGAAAATACTATTCATGTAGGTATTGAAAGCTACATAAATTTTCAGCTTGAATATATACACATACATATATAGTTGGATCTTACAAATTATAATATATGGATTATGATCAAATCTTTCCCCACTCATAAATCAAAAGATATTGATAGAAGTATGCTTAATTTTACATCCGATTATATAATATACTGATAATAATGTTAATCAAACTAAAATATATCGAAATCAGTTTTTAGTATTTGTATTTACATCTATGTTCGATATATTTCTAGCATAAATATATAGATATATTCTTTCAAAAACCTTTCAAATACATCCGAAAATAAAATTTAAATATATATATATATATATATATATATATATATATATCATGTGTATCTATCTCCCTGTCTTTCTATCCATAAAATCAAAATAAAATCATTTTAAATGTTGTAGTTTCTTTAAAAATAGTTAATTTAAAAATAATTATAAATTTAAAAAAATGTTGTAGTTTCTTTAAATTTCTTAAAATAATTATAAATTTAAATCTTGACTCTTTAAATAGTAAATTTATAATTTAGTCCCATTAAAATTCATAATATTTTAAATTAAAACATCGATGAAAACGCATCTCGATCATAAAAATATAATTCTACTTCAATCATTTAGAAAATTTATCTAAATTCGTCCTTAAATTATTAACATCTAATCCCGAATTCAAACTCTAAACAAACCCTATCTATCTATGTGTTTTTAGTTAATGGACCCTTAACTTCCTCCTATACAGTAGATTAAAATTTGTTAATGATTAAATGAAATTTTGTTTCTCATTGAACATTTAAAAGTTTCTTTATTCAAAATTCATCGAGTGGTCTTAATGGTAAAATGAAATGTTGTTCTCTTTTGAAAACTTAAGTTTAAACAGTTGCGACTGCATGATATGCATGTATTATCAATAAATTAAAAAAAATATGAACAAATACTATCCTATAACTACATATGAATATTTTAAAAAAAATATTATTCTATCCAATATACAAGCCCAAGAGGAATCCTGATCTTAATTGACTCAGTCCCAAAGTGTCATATCATAGGCTCAAATTTTCTTATGGCTGCTGATCCAGTCCATGGAGGGACATTCAAGTTAATCCAGAAACAGTTGTTCTTGTGTTTCATCTTGGATTCCTTGTAAATCCATGCATCACTAATTTGGTCTAATCCCTAAAAAAAGCTGATCTTTAACAAGTTGTTCTGTTTTTCCTCCTTTGGTAATCAGTTCTAGAAATGCATTCGATATATATCCGTATTTGAAAATCACATTCGAGTCCGAATAACATGGGTTAGGAATGCGTAACTGATTAAAAGTTTATGTTGGAAAGCTTATCTGCATGATCTTCTTAGTATAAACATCACAAAGTTGTTTATTTTGGAAATTCAAATAAGAACATACATAAAGCATTCAGCATAAGAATAACGGTGATCAGAACATACATAAACAACATCACGCATGGTACAAGACCTTTCCCATGTGGAAACAAGGCTCTTATATTAAAGAGCCAAATCCTTGTTTAAAAGCTTGAAATTTACTCCCAGATAGAAGGAGTCCCAGTGTTCCCCATGCGTGGATCATCTATGAGGCCTCCGGATTCGAGTCCTTCGAAGTCTATTTCTAAAGGATTTCGATAGAGATCGGAGAGAAATATCTGGTGTTCCACCCATTTGAAAGGTGGAACTGAGTCTTCTTCACGAAATTCAGTATGGATAATTTGATTTCCAGTTATGAATCCTTGCGGGTCAGCCAGAATAGCTTGTTCATCTTGATAATGGATTATGTTCATAGTTTGATCCATGGAAGCAAGTTGTATCTTATCATCCAAGTAAGTTTCTGCTTGAAGATTTCCATTGCTGGGAATCTCAACAACATGATTTGCGATTTGGTGAATGAGAACTTCAATCTCCTCTTGTAGGCTGGCAACCTGCAATAAAGGTGAAGTATTTAGTATCATTTCATGTACTCGTATTGTCTATGTTGTTCGGACTCTTCATTTTCACAAGGGAAAACCTGTTGTTGAAGTGTGAAGATATGAGCGACGCAACCGTAAACGGGGTCCCGGATTCGAGCCAGTGCTTCGTAGGATATTGTGACGGCCGCATCGCTTCGGTTATGTATCGGTAAGTGTAGTAACAGCTTGGAGACATTGCTAGCACCAAACACCTTGTGCACGGCGGCAAAGTGACCTGCAGCTTCATCATAGCAAAAGTGGGGTGCGAAAACACACTCATTAGTGCATTTTCTCCTTAGGAATTTGCATGCTCCGCATGAAGATCCAAGCCCTGTCATTTTCCCTAGCTTTTACACTTAGATTGTGTCAATGATATGCATATATAGATGCTTGTTTTGTTTAGGAATAAGAAGTTGCAAAGATTTGCTCTTTATAAGGACGCAAAACTATAAGTTATCAGTTAATTTAACAGAATGATACGTTTGATTATTTGAATAAGTTCATAATGATACGTTTGATTATTTGAATAAGTTCAAAAGAAATAAACTGGATTAGGATGAAAGGGTAACTCTTATAATAAACTTTCATAATATTTGAATTAGATTAATCGACTAATAAATTGAATATCGATAATTATAAGAAAAGTTTGAAACTGTTAAATCCAAGGGATATTATTATAAACTTAAGCTAAAATGCTTGTGGCTTTTGGGTCTCCATAATGGCCTACATTGTCATTTCTTGCATTTGGAAAGTTTGCTTATTTTATGTCTTGAAAAGGGCTTTTATTCATAAATATTCTTCACAAAATAAGGCTAATGTAATGGAAGAATCAATCATCATTATGATTAGTTGGGCTCTAAAAAAGCTAAGAGATAATTTGAAGGATAATCAAAAGTATTCTTATTGAAGAATGTCATCATGTAAACAAAAGGTTTATGAATTGAATTTTGTTTTGTTTTGGTTTGGTATGAAAAATTAATGGTGCGAAACGTTTGGAGAAAAAATAAAATTAAATGAAAAAAAAAGAAATTTGTGATGAAAGTAGAAGTTTTAGATCTGCTATACGAATTTTGTCGCACATTCAATCCATATATGAGTACATTTCTTCTATTAATTTTTCATTTGAAGTTGGAATTCATATTGAATAAGTGTTTTTCAAGTAAATTTGTGTATCGTATTTCATTTTATGGTCGTTTATTACGTAACACGTAATGCGAGAATTACATATAATCTAGTTCTTTTAATCTTGCATTATCATTTCAAGTTTTTCAACATATGCATGGCTTATCTCAAACATGTAATCCTTGTATGACTAGGGGTCCATAATGAGTTAAGCAGTTAGTGAGTAGTTCAAACTCGATTTGGTTAAAACTTGATAAAAGCTCGACTCGAACTCGAGCTCGACTCGAACTCGAGCTCGACTCAAGACCTTAACGAGCTAAGTCGAGCAAAATCCAACTCAACTCGATAAGTTCACGAGCAACTTGTTAATCTTTTATAACTTTTTAATAGTTGTCTTAAAAATTATTTCATTCAAAAATTTACTAATTTACTAATGGATAATAAAAAAAGATTAAATTACTAATCTATTAATTTTCTAATAAATAGTCAAAAATACAAAATTATTAATTAATAATTATTATTTTACTACACCCAAAAATCAAAACCTAATAATTATTTTAATGTATTTATTGATTGTTATTTTTGGTGTTTTGACTTAAAAATTGTTTCATGCACTCTTTAAAAAAATTGGTTAAATTTATTAATTTATGTTTATATTAAGTTCTATATAGTATTAATAGATTTTATTTATAGTTAAAAATAAAATAAAAATTTCGGTGAACTTAACGAGCAATGAGTCGAGCAACAAATTTTCTTAACGAGCACGAGTTGAGCAAAATTTTAACAAGCAACGAGTCAAGCAACAAATTTTCTTAACAAACACGAGTCGAACAAAATTTTAATGAGTTTAAGGAGCAACGATTTAAGTAGAGCAACAAAACTTTTTAAAGGGCACAACCAAATCACGATTGACTCGTTCGATAACCACCCTTTTATCACATTACAAGCCCCAAAAGATTCAGAAGACAAATCTTTTTCTTGTATGACATTATCGTGTTTTGCAAGTGAGTCTTTCAAGTTCATTCAATCTCTTCTGAACCAATTGCAAACTCAAAAATCAAACCAAATCACATGCTGAAAATACTTTCGCCATTATCAATGCATATTATCAATAAGTATTATTTCTCTTTTTTGATGCGCTATCCCGGTTTATTTTGTGAATGTCGTATACGAGTACGTATTAGTATAGGCTAGATATATATAATTTAGAAAAGATAAAGAATTCAGAGGTACATTTACCCCAAATTTAATGGGTTCCGATCCGACCCTATATGTTTTTTTTAAATTCAAATTCGATTTATCTTCTAAGAATAAGGTTGAGTCAATTTCTGATTTAGGGTAAAAATACCTGACTTGACAAAGAAATAATCATATAATAATATAATTAACTTTCATATATTTAGAGATAATTGCCATAATACCAATTTCTTTATATTTTTTGTTTTCACCCTAAACTCAAACATGATCCGAAAATAATAATTTAATTAACTTTCATATATTTAAAGGATAAATGCTAATATCTCTTTCTTTATTTTATTTCAATTAATTCCCTATTTTATCAAATAAAAATGAGAAATATATCGGATTTGGTTTTTATCCAAAAATTCAGGTCGAAATTTGAGTTAAGTAAACTTTCCTTAAACTCGAATCGAATAAGGTGATAGCTGAAAGTGTCATATTTAAATTGTGTTCGGGTAGGTCAAAAATTTTCGATCCAACCTGACCCATAAACATCCCTAATTTAAAAAAAACAATATAGCATGTTGATACTATTTACATGTGAATCCATCCTTTTCATGGGAGATAGGAACTGGCCCAATCAATTCATGGTTCAATGAAAAGAAATATAGATGAATTTATGGGATGAATTCACCTTTTATTTAACCTTCACAAAAGCAAATGAGAACAAAATTACATTGCTTTTCATATGCATAAATTCCTAGCTTAGGGATTGGATCATAGGCTACAACTTTTTTTGTCAGGTTATGCCTAATTCCCAATAATTAGGCAGTTTTTAATTCCTTTATATCAAAGTTGAGTTATTTTATTATATTCTTTTACATTGAATCAGGCTGTGCTGTTGGCCACTTAAGTAATGGTGGGTAGATGACACATTTCTAATAGGAGTTCCAAGCTCAGCTAGCTGCTGATATACTTGCCTACAGGTCACAGTTTCTTATTGGTAAGTGCTTCAATGTAACTTTTGCTAGTTATTTATCTCTATCTTTAGTATGATTCAAAGAAGACAAAATGCTGTTGAGTAGTGACATTCATCCCCTACCTTTTTATTCTGTCTTTTCAGTCACTGCTTAATGAAATTGAAGGTTTTGCATGGAGAGAAGCGAGATGGTGGAGAGGGGGAGCTTTCTGGCTTTCGAGTTTAACGATGATAGTGTCTTTCTTTATCATGTATTCAATTATTCAATCTATCAAACTTCCTTCCTTTCTTTCCACCTGGAAATGCTAGGCCTTAGTTTTTACTATAGCCTTTGTTTTGGTAAGGCAGCTGTGAAATTAGAAATGGAAGAGTAATATGACAATCACGATATGGATTATTTTTTATTCGCATGATATTTTTGTGTCATTTACTTCATTTTTCTATTTTATTTATTTTCTTTAGGGATAAAAATTTTATAGTTTCATTTAACACTGAAATTACCATTATCAAACATCTTCCATATCTATTGAAGATACCAACGAATTCATCTCGTATCTGCTACCAATATATATGTTTATATTTTTTGAAATCACTTTAAAACTTGTGAAATTCAACTCAAATCTCAAAACTCATAAAACCTTAAACTACTATAATATACAATATCCACAACCCGATAAGCATGAATTCAAGATATATGGCCCATTTCATCTTTCTCTACCACCCTACTATTAGAATTTGAAAGAAGATTTCATCATCAAGAAATTAAAGGAATAAGAAACGAAAAGGTTTTCGCAAAAAAAAAATATTTTAAAAAAAAAAATGATTTGTCATAACATCGTTAAGTATTTAATGATGGAGTGATTAAAGTATGAACAAATCAAAAGTTCAATGAGAAAATTAGAAATTTTTAACCTCCAGTAATCAAAATAGAAGTGAGAAAAAAAGTTAAATGATGAATTTATAATTTACCCTTATTTTGTATAGCCAATTAACATAAACCTAATAAATGCATATATTCACTACAAAACTACACTTTTAATCTAATTTTTTAGTTTACAAAAACTCGTCAAGTGGTCTCAGCGGTTAAACAGAATGTTATTTTTCTTTGAAGTTACGAGTTCAAGCGACTGTATTTGCGAGTATGTGTATGTTGTAAGTGACTAAGAAAGATTCCGAAGAGATACTATACAATTAAAACAAAATTTTCGTTTACAATATTAGTAAAGCTAATATTTTTCCCTACTAAACCAGCAATAATTAGCCTTACAAATATAAAATTTTTCCAAAACTATAGTTTCAACAATGACAACAAAAGCTAATAGATGTTTTCATAAGTATCCGACTCAACACCTCCATTTTTGTACATAATTTAAGCTGTCTGCAACTCGGTTTCTCACATGGACAACATGGAAGAATAGTGCAAAATTTCACGAAGCTGCAATAGTTTTACATAACAAAAACCCCCACTCTAAATCTTTTATTTTCGAAGTTTGTGTGTGTTATGATGACTGATGGCACTGCTACAGTTTGTATTGTTCATTTGTTGTACTTGTTTTTGCTGCAATTGGGGGAAAGAGTGGGCCATTGTGTGCTAACTTCCGCTGTTGTAAAGTCCCACACTTTTGCAATTTCTTCTTTCTTCTTTTGATTTTAACAACTTCAAATAAAAATTTTGATTTGTTTAATGTGTTTTTCATCTCTCAATTCTCAATATGAGCCGTTCTTTATCCATATCTCAGACTTGCAATGCTTCCTTTTTTCTGTTTATTCTTTTTAAATAATTTCCTTTTATAGAAAGGTTATAGCCTTGATCTCACATTTGAATATGATTGATTCTGTTGGTTGCTTATGGTAAAATGGCTTAAAACAATAATAATCTTTCAAACTTTAATCAAATTACCCCATAATTCTTTTTGTCAATTCAAACACTTGAATTTTACAGATTATCCTTGACCCCTAAAATTAACAATATCGATTTTTGAATATTCTATAGACGTGGGTCACTAGAGTGGTGTCGATATTGACATAGGACCATTTTAAACCTTATTTTTAAAAATTCAACACATTAATTTTAAGGTTCATTTTTTGGTGTTTTCAAAATTTAGGAAATAATTGGATCGTAAAAAAGTTTAGGGGTCAATTTGATGAAATATGTCAGGCTCAATGACCAGTTTGATAAAATTTATCAAGTTGACAAGTTTGATTAAATTATCCCTTAAAAAAAATTCAAACAAAAATTCTCTCATAAATTTTAAAAACGTGATAAAATGACCCATAAAAGTAATGACGTTATTTTGTGTTTAATAGACATTTGCCATTAAGGTAGTGCCATTATTAACATAAGAGGATTTTAAATTTCATATATATATTTTTAAAAATAACATGTTAATTATAGAGGCCATTTTGTGTTATACTTTTAAAATTTAAAGGTCAATTTAATCGAACTTGTCAAGATCAAGTTCATTATCTTTTCCCTTCTCAAATACAAACTTTGTTTATATATTTCGAATTTTTAGCCACGCAATCCAATTTCATTATCTTCTATTTTAATGTTGTTTAAAAATGGAAAATAAATGGTGGGAGAAAGTGTTTTGAATTAAATGAAATTAGAAAGGAAAATTTTACATATTTCCCCTCATTTCAATAACTCATTTCTCCCATGAAATGGTTGGGTTTTTTTGTGGTCCTAAATTAGGCCACGTTATTGGGCTAACAATGACATGTTAAAAACTCCAAATTTTATGCAATCTCAAGCCTACTGCTTAATGGTCTTTTCGCCACAAATTATGAGAAATAATTAAAATATAAAAATTAATTATAAATATTGAGTGCACATATTTTTTTAACCATCAATATTTCACTTATTAATTTAGATTGAGTATTGTAAAGGTTCATTAGAAGTGACCCTTCCAATCGAGCTTACTCCATTCACAACATCAAAATTCAAACTTTTATCAACTGGTTTTTTTATGACGAGTGTATGTACATTTAGCGTGTTAAAATGATAGATAAAACTAATCGAATTATAAAAATTAAAATTTTCCCATTATTTTCATTAAATTTTATCCACTAATTATTTTTTATTCTAGATTTTTTTTTATAAAGTTTTTAGCTTTCCCAAGTGGGACCAAAATGAAACATTCCAAGAAGGCACCATCCTCTAATTTATATATTTCCAAAATCCGAAAGAAAAATGAAATTAATTTGAATCACAAACAGTCTATCCACCTTATCTTTAATTATCTCTCATACAAAATCCCAAAAAGGATAGACAAATAATTTTCTAACAAAATCCCAAACATAGTCTGTGTGGTAAGAAATGGAACAGATTTTAGTGGCAAAGAAACAACCTTAACGGGTAACCTCCAAGTGATGAAGTGAAGATTGATGGACTGAGCAGAATGCAGCAATCACCACCTGCCACGCGTGTTCTTGATGTTAACTTTGACTGTGATCTGTGTGGCCTTCAACAAATGAACAAAAAAGAGCGAAACTCTACAAGAAGTCCCTGTCTCTTTATAGATTTTGTTTTAGGGACGTGGTGGTGGTGGAGGTTACTTAAATTTGAGATGGACATAATTTCAAAAATTAGTTAAGTCATAAAATAAGGAATTAGTTCTTAATTTCATTAACTGAAAAAATGATTTTAAAAATAATTAAACTAAACAAATTAAAGGTCAAGATTTAATTTCATTAAATTTGAAACTGACAAGGTTTTAAAAACTAATTAAACCAGAATGAATCAAATCATCAAAGTTGGGGACATGACCCCTCCCATCTACAACTAAGGATAAGCATGAATCATATCAGGTCAGGTCAGTTTTGCCCCCCCCCCCCACTCGAAACTAATTTAAGTAGTATATCTTTTCACCTGTTATTTAATTTGGATTTAAGGAGGTTTCATCTAATCTCGACTCGATTTTTATATATATACAATTTTTTATTTGGTAAATATGAGATCTAATTAAAAAGTATATAAAGAGAGATATTATTGTAATTATCCTTAAGTATTTAAAGGATAATTATATTGTTGCCTTGGATCGAATATTTTTGACCATAAAATCGAATCCGACCCAACCCAATCTTATCCCTAAAAAATACTGATACATTCTAACTCGAATTCGATATTTTAAAAATATTGACCTTATAAAAATTAAGGGGTTGTTTGTTTGCCTTTTAATGGAACCATTCAGCGCTGAATGATGAACCGTTCAACATTCAGCGCGTTTGTTTCGTACTTCTGAATGATTCAATGCTGACTAATTCAACAAAACAGTACTGAATGATTCAGCACAGAAGTACATTCTGAATGATTCAGAGCCATTATCAAATAGCATGTCACATTCCGAGCTAATTCATACAGAGCCTCTGAATCATTCATCATTTGAATCATTCAGTGCTTAATCATTCTGAAGTAAATAAACAACCCCTAAATCTAATTAAAACATGTTAGATTCAGATAAATGCTTATACCTCTCTACAACGTGGTTCCATCCCTATCTACTCCTGTTATAATTTGATAATTTATAATCTTCAACTTGTTGGTTTTAAAAACAAGTTAAATTATATATATCACACAACTATATGTTTAAACGAATCACATTGATTATTTGATGGATTAGAAATGATTATATTGTTGTATATGGACTAAATCATAAACAATACATAATACAAGGTCCTATAAAATTTGACTAAGATTGAAAGACTGCAAAATGCGACGTGGACCCAGAATGCTATCTTTGATTATGATTTACGTGGCCTTCAATTTTTGCACACACAATAATAAGTCCCCCTTCCCTCATAGCAATCCTTATAGCTCGTCGCCATTTTCTCCCAAGTTTGTCATTATCACTTAACATTTTACAGTTCATTCTCCTGTCTCCGATGGCGGCTTCTGTCTCCACCGTAGGTGCTGTTAACCGAGTGCCGGTACTTACCATCTCATCATCAGTTACACCATCGATTTTATTATTACATGTGTTCCAAACATGTACCAAATTGTTATGTTTTTTGTTATGCAGTTGAATTTGAATGGCTCCGGTGCCGGATCCTCGATTCCGAGCTCGGCTTTCATGGGGAACAGCTTGAAGAAAGTGAGTCCGAGGTTCAACAAGGTTCCGTCGGGGAGTTTCAAGGTTGTGGCGGCCAAAGAGGTCGAAGAGAGCAAGCAGACCGACCAAGACCGATGGAGGGGACTGGCTAACGATATTTCTGACGACCAACAAGACATCACTCGAGGGAAAGGAATGGTTGATTCCCTCTTCCAAGCTCCCATGAATGATGGAACTCACTATGCTGTCATGAGTTCCTATGAATACATCAGCCAAGGGCTTAAACAGTAAGTATCAAGTGTCATCGAGTCCAGCCGGATTCGATAAACTCGAGTTTGATATCGACTTTCGATACTTTTATTTGTATTTAGTAATGAATTTTGTGATGATTAATGTAATTTAGGTACAACTTGGACAACAACATGGATGGGTTCTACATTGCCCCAGCGTTCATGGACAAACTTCTTGTTCACATAACCAAGAACTTCATGACCCTCCCCAACATTAAGGTATGTCTTGATTTTCCGTAAGAAATATTAAGCCGTAATCGGGATATTGAACGTTTAATCATGTTCAAACTCGATTTTTCTCCATTTTTTACATTTTTCTTCTTCCTTTTCACAGGTTCCTCTCATCTTGGGTATTTGGGGAGGAAAAGGTCAAGGAAAATCATTCCAATGTGAGCTCGTATTTGCCAAGATGGGAATCAAGTGGGTTATTGACGTATCCGAATCCAAAATTTAATTTTACTCGTTTTGGGTCACGTATTCATATCTGACAGTCGTTGAATTATTATATGATGAATTAATATTACAGCCCCATCATGATGAGTGCCGGAGAATTGGAAAGCGGGAACGCCGGAGAACCGGCTAAGTTAATCAGGCAGAGGTACCGTGAGGCCGCTGACATCATCAGAAAGGGAAAAATGTGCTGCCTCTTCATCAACGATCTCGACGCTGGTGCCGGTCGTATGGGAGGAACGACACAGTACACGGTGAACAACCAGATGGTAAACGCCACACTCATGAACATCGCCGATAACCCGACAAATGTCCAGCTCCCTGGAATGTACAACAAGGAAGAAAACCCTCGTGTCCCGATCATTGTCACCGGTAACGATTTCTCGACGCTGTATGCGCCACTCATCCGTGATGGTCGTATGGAGAAGTTCTACTGGGCACCTACTAGGGATGACAGGATCGGTGTTTGCACTGGTATTTTTAGGACCGACGGTATTCCCCAAGAAGACATTATCAAGCTTGTTGACACATTCCCTGGTCAATCCATTGGTAAACTTCTTACTCTAAACTTATACCGGTCTGTGTCGTGTTAAATAGGTCTAACTATGATTTTAGTCCTTCTATCATATTGAAACCTGACATTTAATCCCTCTAGAACTAACTTGAAAATGATATAACCCGAAGCCCTAAGGATTAGACCTAAAAAACCATAACCTCAAATCCAAATGACTCAAACTAGGGATGGTACGGGTCATGTTGGGTTTTTGGCCCACTCGAACCCAATCCGAGCATAACACCCCCACCCGATCCGACCTAGATTTAAAGAAGTTATACTTGACCTGAAGCCCAACCCAAATTTAAGGTAAAAACTTATACCCGACTCGATCTGACACAAATATATATATATAATTTTTATTAAATAAAATAGGGATTTAATTGTAAAAAGTATAGCTAGGAAGGTATTATTACTATTATTCCAAAATATATAAAACTGTATTACACTATTATTCTCAAGTCTAGTAGGATAATTTTTTACCCTAAACTCAAATCCCACCCGATCTTACCTTTAAACAAACCCAACTTGAACCTAATTTTTTTTAGATAAAATGCCGACCATACAAGATCAGGTCAAAACACATTGGGTTTGGATCAAATATTCATTTTTTTATCAAACACTTGTTTTAAATACGCTTAACAAAAAATGGACTAATTATGGTATTAGTCCCTCTGTTATGCTGAAATTTAGGATTTAGTTTCTGCATTTTAGTACAATTTGATTCTTTACTTTTATAATGATACCAACATTTTTTTGTGGGGTTGGGGTTTTAATTTGCAGACTTTTTCGGTGCTGTGAGGGCCAGAGTTTACGATGACGAAGTAAGGAACTGGATCGGAGACACTGGAGTCTCCAGCATCGGTAAGAAGCTCGTGAACTCGAGGGAAGGGCCACCGACATTCGAGCAACCGAAGATGACCATCGAGAAGCTGTTGGAATATGGAAACATGCTTGTCAAGGAGCAAGAGAATGTGAAGAGAGTTCAATTGGCTGACAAATACTTAAGTGAAGCTGCTCTTGGAGATGCTAATGCAGATGCCATCAACAGAGGAGCTTTCTGAATGGGAAACTAAGCAAAAGCTTAGGGTCTTTTCTGGGGAAAATATATGGGGTTCAAAGCGATGTGGGATAATTTTCATGAATTTTGTTTTCCTTTTGTTTTAAGTGGATTTGTATACTCTATTTTTGTCTTATAAATCTCCACTTTCTTTTGTCTTAAAAACAATGTGTTGCGTTTATCGTGATTAAAGACCTAACATATACTATTTTAGTGATTACAAGCATCACGGTTGTGCATTAATAATTACAGATGACATTACTACTACCATATAATGATTGCTATTTAAATTCCTGATTTCAGTCACCCTTCCTTTATATCAATAGTTGTCATCAAGAAATTTCCTAGTCCTAAGTAATCTTTTTCCTTTTGGTAAGGGATGAAGAAAGAGATGTTTATGGATCAAATTAAAACCGAATTTAATTGAAAATTAGGTATCAAATAATATATTCAACATTAGAATTTATTAACATTAAAAAATGGTGTTGGCAAAGTAAACCCATCAAATTACAATAGGACCATCTTTTGAATCAAACAACATGACTTTGTTCAAGATTTCTTAGAACATTCCTTATTTTCAACCCAATGTTTTAACAATGTCTTCAACGTTGCCTAATAGCTCTTTAAGGATGACAATTTGATCAAACTGCTCTTTATCCAGCAATTGAGCTTCCAAACTATTCAGTTCTTTCTCACAATTCTAGGTATTAGTCGCGGCAGCTTTCATATTGTATTCCTCCGATTTATGATTCCTAGATTCCACGGCTGTTCGGAGCTTCATAGTCGCATAGTGTGTATTTCGCCTGGACCTCGGGTGTAAGAGGTTTAGGACCTTCGAGCACGGTAGTCTTGAGATTTTGAGAAACGTTTGATGCATTATTAATGACGATTTTGATAATTACCGATGCAATAACCTCCAGTTCGGCATTATCGGGGATGTATCTGCCGATATACGATTCCTTATAGCTTAGATGCAACGATCCTTGTTCCTAACCTTGTCACATATTTTATTGATGTCAGGAGCAGCGTTTAATAAGGGGAAAAAGGAAAGGCAAATGAAGAAAGATAAAGCCAATGCAATATTATTTTTGATGGGGTTCATTGTTTTATCCTCTAGGTTATTGATTTTACACCTTTTCTACTTGGAATAAGCTAGAGGAGTTGTGATCTTTTATAGTTCGTGTGCTAGGCTTCTTATTATTGGTATGCATGTTGAAACAATATTTTTTAATGACTTTGAACGACCAAAAGACAATTGCGCTTAGCCACTCATTGTGACCTCTATAAACTGTGGTTGCTATTAGGTTGAACTCTTAGATTGAATTCTATTTTTCTAAAAAAATTAAAAAGAATTTTCTATAATAATAATAATTAAAAAATTCAACATGACCCCATATCAATTAATAAAATTATAATGAAACATAGGTAAATGAAAAGATTCCTTGAGGATCAAACCCATATAAAGAAAAAGTACCTACAAAATACCAATGTTACACTAACTACTTTACCACCTATATGCTCTATTTATTTTTTTTATTTTAAAAAGTTTTGGATGATTATAAAATAATATTTGTTTAGAATTTTCTTATTTAATTGACAATGCACAAACCCTATAGACGCAACTGTTTGAACCCAAAACTTCTAGAAAGAAAACATTCCCTTTAATCAATTTTTTTGAAAGGGGTTGCACTTTATATTAACGAAGACAAATACAAAGTAAGACACTATCATGAGTCTTATTAAAAAATCTCCCTAAACCTAGATAAAGAAAAAAAGTGCATCACGGAAGTGCCATAATCCAACAATAACAAAAGCAGGGTCTGTACCATATTCCCTTTTTAATCATTGAGATCACTTGATGAGTTCATCTACTCTATCTAATTACTTGTAAAAGAAAAGTTTTGATTAACTGTTCTAAATATAATGTAATTAATTAAGCCTGCCAGAATGGTTGATTAAAGTCTTCAAGAAATGACAGTGGTTGAGAAATCTCCGGCCGCAGATGAGTGTCGCTAATTTATTGTCGGTTTATGTATATTCATATGGTTCATAACTAATATGATCCCGTATTCCCAGTTGGTATATATCTTATGGACTTCTAGATAATTCTTAATGTAATGATCCGAATTTTAAAGTTAATATTTAGGTGTTGATCGCGGATCAAACACAAATTTAATTTTTAAGTGGTAATTAGTATCTAAAAGTCGAGATGTTTGGGCGATTTTCCTCTGGAAGGAGAGGCGGGTTGGTGAGATCATATCAATCGTCAATGATTCATACTGTCTTTGTCAACAATGCAAGCAAGAGGATTCATCCGGCTACCCTTAAGGAAGCTTTCATGGAGTATGGTGCAGTGGTGGATGTGTTTATGGCATTTAGAAGCAGAAAGAGACTATTTGATGGATCCACATTTATGTTTGTGAGGTTCAGAAGCAAGCATGAAGCCAGTGTAGCGGTTTAGAGGGCAGATGGGAGGTTGATGGACGGTTATAGAATTAAAGTTTTTCACGATAAATCATCGGGACCAATAAGTAACAGATATGATTCTGGAAATTTGGTGAAGAGGGTGTGGAAGCCGGCCCTAAGATATTCCAGGTCCTATAAGGATGTGTTGAGCTTCCGGATTGATGAAGTCGGTCTGTCACAAGATAAGGTATTAGCGAATCAGAAATTTAGAATAGTTGATCCGGGTGCAGTCATCCATGTTAGTATTTCGGAAGATCGCTCTCTTAGCTTTAGTCGGAATAGTCTTGCAGCTCGTTCGAATATAATGGTTCCTAAGAATGAGTTGAGGTGGAGAGAGTGTTGTTTGGTTGGCAAAATCAAAAGGATGTATAATGAGGATACTATTCACACAACCTTTCTAGCAGAAGTGTTTGATGTAAGGGTCAACATTTGGCATGAAATGCTGGTGGTTATCCAGTTTAATGGGGTAAGGAAGTGTAAGGCGTGTTGGGATAATAGAGATGAGTGGATTCGAATCTGGTTTGATGAATTAGAATTTTTAGAAGGGTATGGGCAGAGACTTAAAAGGAAAATTTGGGTTATATTAAAAGATGTCCCATTGTTAGTGTGGAGAAATAAATACTTCAATGATCTAGGGAACCTGTGGGGTTCAGTTGTAGCTATTCATGAAGATACTAGCAATAGAATTCGTTTCGACGAAGCCAGACTACTTTTGGAAGTGCAGTGTGCTTCGGCGGTACCTGAGAAATGTTCCGTTATCATTAATGGTAGGGTATGTTTCATTAAAATTCTTACGGAGGCTCATGAAGAAGGTAGAGTGTTCATAGATGACACTCAGGCGGGTGGTGGTCCAGTGCTTCCAGCTGGCGATGTTGATGTTCTGTTTTCAAGGCTGCATGAGGGTTTTACTGTAGTTGATGTTAACGAGGTAGGCTTTATTGAAGATTGTTTTAATGAAACACAAAGTATGAGGAGCGAATGTGGTGTTCTGAAAAGCAGGTTTACGCATGTTGCCCCTTTTGTGGGGAATGTTGAGTTTGTCGGGGATGATTTACACGATGTACCCATATTGTCTAATGATGGGCCTTTCAATCTGTTAGTGGATGATAGCATTGGCTTTGTTGAGATTAATAGAGAGCCAGCCCATATTGGATTAACCCAATCCATCTCTAATAGTTCCAGATTATTAGAAGTTCCTATAGCTGAAGCATCTTCGCTCCAAGGGCGAACAGATGAAATTTGGGTTGTATTATCAGCGTCTAGCAAAGAGAAAGCTACATCCAATTTCGATGGAGTTATTAATTATGATGTGGGAGAGTCAGAGAAAGGTGCTAGTAAAGTATCTTTTTTGCAGAATGGTAGACAGGCTCGCTGTAGAGTTAAATCCTTAAAAAAAGAGTGCAAAGGGTAGCAAGGAGAGGCCAATTCCCAGAAATTCTCAAAATTGGGTTGGTAATTCCAGTGGTGATAATTTCGTTCGACCTTCGGGGAATATAAATGAAGATGAGGCAACCTTAGCAGTGGTGGATACGTTGGGTATGCAGTTTGGATCTTCAAGGAAGAGGGTGCTCGAGAGATTGGAACACACTGTTCAATCGGGAAAGCCTTGAGTATGTGTTTGAACTATGGGTGATAATTGCTTGTGTGTTTTAGTCTTTTTATATGGATTTTGGTCTATCTGTTTTGTTGTGGAATATAAGAGGGTTGGGTAAGAATGAAAAAGTTAGAACAATAAGTCGGGTTATTGATTCGAATAAAGCTAGGGTGGTGTTGTTACAGGAATCAAAAGTTATGAGTTTACATGTTGGTGTAGAGAGAAGGTTAAAGGGTAAGTTTGTTAGCGAGATTGTCTGTGCTCCGGTAGAAGATGCTTCGGGGGGTTTGATTTATTTGTGGGATAAGGACGTTTTTAATGTTATCTACCATAACATTTACATGAGATTCATTGTGTTAAAAGGTCTGCTTGTGCATCAAAATTTGGAAATATGCATCATCAACGTCTATGGTCTGAATGCCTACGGTGATAGAGTGAGCTTTTTTGAATAGTTAAACAACATTATTGAAATTCTGAAGGCTCCGGTTATTGTGGGCAGGGATTTTATTATCGTTAGATCGGACTTTGAAAGAACAGGGGATCAAGACATTTCGTCTTCAATGTTGGTTTTCGAAGAATTAATTCGAAATGAGACTTGGTTGATGTTCCAATCTCGGGTAGCATTTTACATGATTTAGGGGAGGGGTAAGCACAACTGCTAGTAGGCTTGACAGGTTTCTAATTTCAGCCGACATTGTGTGTTTAAGTCCAAATTTGGTGCAAGTAATGCTTCATAGAGGTCTATCAGATCATAATCATATTCTGTTATGTGAAAGGAAGCCAAAAGAGGTTTGTAGGCCCTTCAAATAGTTTAAACATTGAGTGGACGACCCATCTCTTGCTAATAAAATAAGGAGGGTCTTCAATGCTAATCAAGGAAAAGACTTGAATCACGTTCTGTTGCTAACGAAGATAGCGACTAAGGAGTGGGTTGAGGTGAGTAGAGAGTTGAAATTTGATTTGATTGTGGTTTTGGAAAAAAAATCGATTATTTAGAATTATCGTGTTTGGCGAACCCAAGCGATAAGGCTACACAAGATGAACTTGTGTCAGTAAAGGCGAAGTTGTGGGCAGAGTATAGAAAGGCGGAAAGAGAATGGTTGCAAAAGTCGAGATTAAAGTTTTTA